TTCTAGTTGTGGACATCTTTCTCTCAGGTGCGTCATGTTATCCCACCTGCAATGTGACCCAACTCTTACATACTTCACTCAAGTCTAGAGCTGATTAACCTGTTCATGAAACGTTTGCTACACGGCATTCCACAAACACTTGCTCCACATCCACATGTTCCTTTTGTTCTTCGTTCCTTGCAAATTAGAGTTTGTATTGGCTCGTTCCCCGAGGTCTCTGAACATCTAACAATGATCAGGGAGACTAACTCCAACTAGTTTAAGATCCGGGTCTATCGCCACTGATGTACGACTCATTTTGCCCTATACTGAAAGTACCGGCATAATCTTTCTTCAGGACAGGCGGATGAAGTCACAGTGAGGTATACAATGTACTGCCACCCTTGCCGAACCAGATGGCTGTAGTATGGGCCGTACCACAAACAAAATATAATTCAAAAACACCATGAGCGCAAGACAATGTAGCGCGTCAGAGTTGCGAGTGCGCAGACAACATTGTCCACTGAAAGTGGTAATGAAGTCAGTCGGTAAGTGTGCCAAGCAAACATTGGTGTTAGCTGTACTAATTTCTTTCTATTTCGAAAGGTCTCGGTGGCAGAGAAGGCTTTCATCCTCAATGGGCCAGAAATATGTAAAATGGGGTACTCTATGGCCGCTCGCACTCATAGTCACTCCTAGCGAGAATGGAATTCATAACTTATTCAAAATCGGTGTTTTCGGTTCCCAGAGCATTCAGTCAGTGCCGCTGATGAACAGAGGCAAAACCTCATCCACCTGGTATCGATCCTCTAAACCAAATGGCGGTCGTCCAATAAGTCCTGAAGCAGTACTACCTTATCCTGTGTGACCACGGTGGTATCTCCTTGCAGGACACCTCAATCCGGTGAGCGCTTGTGGGTTCACCTCCAGAGCTTAAAAGCTGGCTTTCTTCGGCTCAAAACATCAGCACTCTGCTGCCCTACTCCCCAAGCACAGCTACTACTTTCACCATGATCGCAAACCGTCTTCAAATCCTCGCTGGTGTGGCCTACCTCATCGTGGCTGTCTCCGGTGCCCAGGTTACTTTCGACTGTAACAACATACCTGGTGAGTATGTCCGACTTCTTCTACATGCTTTGAGGCTGAACAGACCTGTGCAGAGACATGTAACAACATGGTATAGTTGACACATCTTCGTAATGAGGAACGGTTTCTCACTGTATGTATCAAAGTGCTTTGCAGCCAATCGTGGCGTCTACTTCCAGATGCACTTTGACCCCAACACCAACAACCGCGCGGGTCGTAGGCAAGCCGCAGGCTGCCTCCCAAACCCCAACAGGTGCCAGAACAACCCTCCCGCCCCGGATCGTATCACGTAAAGTGAATTTTGCCTTCTCTGGTCGGTGTAATGTTGCTCACATCTTATTCATACAGGTGCGACGAATATCCATTCGCTAGCACCCATGGAACCGGCAACGGAGGATGGTACTCTGGCACTGGGGCTACCACTCGCTGCGTCAGCAGGAATGAGTGTAACAGTAAGGATGGTAGCCTGTATGTGAATAAAATCGCTAAATCGACTTTTTTGCTTAGGCCAAGGCGGCACCCTGAGTGCTTTCTACCAGTCCTTCAACCGCGTCGATCAAACTCCAGTAGATGTCATTGTGACAGGCTACTCTAATACCGTCGCGCCGTTCTGTAACAACGGCGGCATGGCATCAGATGGTCAGTTCGCAACTGGCGGGGCCCCGCCCAATCGTCGCGACTCTGTCGTAGATGGATTCGGTACCGGTGTAGAGCCACCCTACAAACGCGCTGAAAACGTCACTATGTACGAGTACAAGACCGCGGCTGGCCGAACTGTTCGCTCGCTTAAGGGAGAAGTCGAGATTGGAACTGAAATTTTTGTTCCGAACCCGAACTGGCAGAACAATTCAAAGGTTAAGCGCATGCTCATGCGCAGACAGGACGACGACGACGGCTGTACCGGTAGCAGGGCTCAAATCGAGGCTGCCAGCTTGTTGGACTCCAGCGAGCTCGGCGAAACCGACACAATCGTCGAGCGTCTTTAGGATGCTGTTCGTGTCTAATCATTTGAAATAGCTAACCTTCTTTTCTTCTCTGTATGATTTGTCTTTAACCGTAAATGTATGAATCCAAAGTGTTTGATTACCTTCCAGGTACTAAGAACATATAAGGCGCTGATAATAACTTCCGTGTAAACAAAAATACAGCATAGATACCAGATGAGTCACTCTACACAAGTCCACTCACACCCATACGCACCGTATCAAACACAACCCTGACAATTGCCCACCACGTTCGAGCCAGTACCATCCCAAGCCCAGTACTATCACTTCCATTCACGCCTCTCAACCGTCTTCGTACAATATCCGCAGTGCCAGTCCCTCCACTGGTAACACCGCCGATTCGCCGCCGGCTACGCAATCGTAGCAGTACTGAAATGGCCGGTAAAACAAAGAACAAAAACGTTCCAGTTAGGATGGCGCCACCTCTACTTCCACTTAAACGCGTGAAGTAGGGTTGTAACGATGCTTTGATCAATGCGTAGGTGCTTAGATTTCTCCCTCGATTGGACTGTGCTGCAGTGAGGTGAGAACGAGGGAGTGAAAGGGGGTTGGGCGAGTTGGGATTGAGAGGATGGGTATGTTGAATTTGAGACGGTGGTACCCGTGGAGAGTGATTGGAAGACCCTGATCCGCGAGAGCGTGCTGGTGAACGGGATTTGGGGCGAGTAGCATCATTCAACGACGATGGGTCGGAAAGAGCGTTCCCGTTTCCTTCTGGATAAGCGCTCGCCTTTCCCTTCCCTTTAGTACTTTGTCTATTGGGAGTGACCGTTCCATCGGAAGAGGCTCGCGAAGATGAAGAGGTTATAGAAGAATCGAGTGAGGAAAGAGAGGAGAGGGAGTGTTGGAATGGTGCATGTTGACGTGGCGTTGCAGGAACCGCCGTATGTGTTGATGTTGTTGAAAGTGAAGAAGATGAGGATGATGAGGAAGGTGTCGGTGATTGGGGCCGAGATGTTAGAGGGGAAGGTGATGATGATGACTGTTGACTCTGAGGTGGATAGCGAGCTGACAGAACCTGTGCATGTTGGGTTCGGAGTGCCAATTGGATATTCTACAGAGGAATTAACGTTTAAACAAAGGGCTGAGTGTAACGGAGGCTAACCTGGCGAGTATCCGGATCCAGCTGGCTCTCATACTCCATAAACTCCGTCGCGTATTCCCACTCCTCAAGCTTCGGAAGAACTTGCAACACATACAACTCCAGCACTTTGTCGTAACCATCCCCTCGAGCGTGCGAAGAGGCAGAATAGTATGAATTGCCTCGTCTACCCAACCAATCCTCGATCATCTCTCTACCGACCTGAGCCGCATCTAATTTCAGGCTAGAATAGACCAGAGTGCTGAGGACCTGTACTGGCAGCACCACTGATGACTCTGGTACCCTTTTTGACGAGAAGAAGGCCAGAGATCGACTGTACGTCTCCGTGACGAGATTTTGCGGTGACTTGACAGTAATCTCCTTCAGCTGATCCGGAAACTCTGTGGCTGCTATACCAGAGGTATATACTGTCGTTTCGAATGTAATTCGTAGGATATCCCATTTCCTCTGCAAGTCAGAATCTGAATCTGACGAAATGGTAGAGAAAGCCGTTTGTAGAAGAGAATGAGTGAGAGTTATGTTTCGTTTAAGAAACGCCTTGGCTGCCCGGTTGTACAACGTCCGCAGAGTCTTGGTATCCGTGGCCGTTGACGTCTGCTTGAGACTAGCTGGCGGTAAGTTCTCTGTCATTGTCGCCGTGGGCATCGTGGAAGACGACGAAGACGACAAGGAAGAGGATGGTAGTGGTACGGAACCAACCTGTAAGAGGCAAAGGTGCGGAAATAAATTCACATGTCCGCGTCTAAATGTCTGCCAAAACCCATTCTCACCAGTCCAACCGGGCAAGACCCAAGCCGTCCGAAAACAACAGAAAAGAGGTTTTCAAACCAGTTTTTGACAATCCTTTTCGCATCAATTGGTATGGAACCTTGTATGTGGGAGAAAATGTCGCTAAATTTTCAGTTTTTCAGGCCGAATGTCCCAATCAACCTGCAGAATCTCATTCTTGCTCAGACTCTTACCCTTCTTGAGGGTGTAGCTGAGTACCAGCGAGCTCGCGACCTTGCCCATCGCAAGCGAAAGAAGGAGAATAAAGGGAACAAGCCAAACAAAAAGGCAAAGCATGACAGTCAGAGTGCGAAATCTACAACCGAAGATGTTGCAATGTCCGTGGACATCCCATTGCCCGACCAGCCACCCATTCTAGCGCATACTACAGCAGGTATAAATGCTGTCACAAAGCGTCTCGAAGCTCAGATACGGGAAAGAAGGTCTACCAAAATCGTAACTGAGCCCGAGCATATCTCTCCACCTCGGTCTCCAATCCGTGTTGTGCTTGTGTGTCGAGCAGATGTGAATCCTCCGATTCTCATTGACCACATACCCCATCTTGTCGCAGCATATAATTCCGCCATCCCATCATCGGCGGATCCGGTGCTTCTGGTACTACTTCCGCAAAATGCAGAGCTTACACTTGCAGAGACATTTGGAGTGAGGAGAGTGGCTGTGATTGCCTTTGAGGTCCGTCCATTCTGGCTCTGGTGTCGTGTTATCCGCTAAACTTCTAGGCAAATAGGCAAGCGCCCCCAATCTCGAAAATCTGCTTTCTCTTACATCTAACGTTCCAATTCTATCCGCACCCTGGTTGGCACCCCCGCCTTCCTTGGAGGATGGCAGGCAGGTCCAGATTGTGCCGACACATATCAAGCAACTGCGCACTACAGCCCCAAAGGATATGAGAGTAGCGAAGGAGCAGAGGATCGAGGGAAGAAAGGCAGCGAAAGAGAAGAAGCAGTGTATAGCAAAGGAAAAATGAGCATCAGGCATCAGTGTTTTATCCATCCGTATATCAACTGGTACTTTTCAGAGTGACTCTGGAGAGGTAAAAATGCGTCAGCGGGGAGTCGAACCCCGTTCGCGACCTGGGCGAATCATACACCTTGGGAAGGTCGCATCATAACCGTTAGACCACTAACGCTTGTGTAGCAAGCGAATATGTGTGTATATATTATACCATTTTGAGGTGTAAGCATGAAGGTCCATACACAGTCCATCTGCAAATGTCCAGCCTAAATACAATATAGATATCGTAGATAATAAGTCTCCTCTCCCCTCCTCAAGGTGCAGGGCAATCAGGTATAGTGATATCCTTGAGGGTACGACTAGAAAACAGGTCAACAGGACTTACGAAGCACTGAGTTTACATTCACTTACTCGCTGTTGAACAAGCCCCACCAGCCCTACAAATATAAGGATTAGGAATTTCGACTGAGCCGTGCATGTAGCAACCTACCTCAACACCGCCGAACTGAGCATCCTAAAGTCCCGATATCAGTAAGGAAGATCGTCTTCAAACATGATTTACAACTAACCTTCCAAGGCTCGTCGGTAAACTTTAGCAATGAACCGAAGATGTCAGACGACGCTTCTCTTAACGTGGCTAATGAGAACACACCTCGAAGAAGAAGTATTCCGTTCCATTCTGGTTTGCTTGACAGACAAACGTGTCGATGAACGTCTAGGGGGCAGAGTGTTGGTTAGGGATGTCAAATACCAGAGACCGATAGCAGTCGTACCTGTAGATTCGCCACAGAAGCTGTCGAAGCACCATTGGACTCATTCCCCTTGTCAGAAGATTTCTACGACAGAGCCACCATCAGAGTTCGAAACTGCGCATGCATAAACCCACGCGAATAGTAAAAATGAACGTACCGTGGGCCAGCCTGTCTCTGCGATAGACATTGTCGGCTTGTTAGCCAACTGCTGAGCAACTGCGACGTTGTTCTCTTGGAAGAACGACCATGTCCAACCAGCAGCTGCATCGACACTAACATTTGCAAACCATGCGTGTACGTTGGACATCTAATAAAAGAGACAGGAGTGATGGAGATGAGTACGGCCATACGGCGGAGACAAGCGAAATACAAACTCCATAATCAACCGCCGATAGAACTTCGTTGTTGAAGAAGCTTCCAGCATCCGCATTGCCGATAGGCATGGTTTTACCCAGGTTGAGGCCTTCGATCATTGATTTTGTGTCTTGGATGTTATTGAGCAAGATTTTAGCTCCTTGGTTACCGGTGGCACTGTTAGCATCTCCACCTCCGTTGGCATTTAGGTAGCTTCGGAGTGCCATCAATAATGAATACAAATTCAGGAGGCGAAGTAGACAAACTTTAACATGAACTCGTTCCCAACGGTTACACCTGCGACATGATCAACGCCAAAGTTCTGGAGAGCTTCCTTCATGGCATCCCTTTGACGCTCGTATGCAGCCTAGTTCAATTTGATAAGCCCCAATATCATCAATATGTGAAACAATATCTCACGTCGCTGTCGGTCGCTATGGGGTAGTTTGCGATGTACACGTTAAGGTCGACTTTGGTTCGTTGAACAGCATCGAGCTGAGGAATATGGTTTGTTATTGAACACGAACGAGGCAGAATGTTTACTCACGACCAGAGCGGTCTGGTTACAGTCTGATCCGTACAACCGGATTCTCTGCAAAAAATTAACGCAAGCATAAAAATTTTGACAGATAGTGCTCACCGTTGTCAATTGAGAAAGGATCTGAACGTCGCGGATGATATTGTCTAGTATAGGTGCATCAGTCAACATTACACACAAGGCTGAAACAGACTGACCAAGGTTGGCACCGCAGTCTGGCAAGATGGCTCCTTCGGGCGTGTACGCTATTCCATAGAATGACTTTTTCAGATTGCTGTCTTTTGAAAAGTTGCTCGGGTCTCCACTGCTTGACGACGAGGAGGACGAGGACGAGCTGGAATTTCTTCTAGAGACAAGTACGCCTGCCACAACTGCGACAATGATGATGACTAGTAGTAGGGACAATACCACCAATGACCTGTGAACATTCCAAATTAGAATTAATTCAAGCCAGAAAATCAAGGGCTGATGACGCACCATATATCTCGACCTCTTCCCAGACTTGTGTTGGTTCGCAAGCCACTGCTCATTAGGATCCCGTTCCATATACTGTCTTGTATCTCCATAATGAGGTCTACGACTGACAGGGTCGGCAGCAGCAGCACCTGCAGCACCTAAACCAACTCCGGCTGCTGCTGCACCTGCTGGTAAGTTGCCGGAACTTCTTGTTCGGTCATTCAATTGGTCATTGTCATAGTATTGCCCTAAACCTCCAGAATCGGCCGCCCTTGGTTGAGTTCCGTACGGTCCTTGGTTAACGAGTGGAATGCTGGCAGGTGTGTCGGATAGACGGTGTGCAGGCTGTGAAACGCCAGGTGAGCGGCTTACGGGGATAAACAAGGCGGCTAGCAATGACTTACAGGGATCTCGTTGTAATAGTCCTGTAATGATTGTCTGCTCGGGTTGTCCCTGTACTGCGAATACATTCTGGCCAGCGAACGAGGTGAAGGGAATGAGGATGAGTGTTGTTGTGATGAACAATCAGTAAGCTGTGGAGCCCAGGTTGCTAAATTTGCGTGGGCCGTGGCGCCAAGTGACTGCGCATTGCGGTCTCTAAGGCATTCGTAACTGTGTCTTTCTCTATTTATAAAATACACTTTATTGAGTCCGTATGTTTACCAGCTGCTACAGTCGGCGCAAAAAATATTGCACGCCCTAATACGGTAATAAATTCACATCTGCCATATACACGCCAAATATCCCCTAGAACCACCACAAAAAGACATTTTCCTCCGAGTATTTTCACTAATGCCAGCAGCTACGGCTCAGGAGAAATGATCCTACTGAAAGTATCAAGAAAAAGTACCAGCTTTTTGGGGGCTGTCTGTTGACCTCGTTCATTTTGGCGCTGATGGGAACGAATTCCCAAAACGGGGCGTGCAATATTTTTTGCGCCGACTGTAGCATAAGTATACTGCGACAAAGAGAAATTAAACATGTCCATGAAGCCGTGAAATCGCCATGAAAATCTACACTACTACGGTAAAACAAGTACAACTACTGACGATGCTGCTAAATCTGTTGAAAGTATTCCATATCGAATATATGAACTTCAAGAGTAATTAGACGTTGGGTATGTGGAGAAGAACTAAATACAGAAAAGAGCGACAGGTGCAAGCGACGAGGAGAAGGAAAGGATGCAAGACACGATAACTATACTTCCTTACTAGATTGTTCAGACGAAGTCCCTGCTTTCGTTCGACTAGGTTGCGATGATGACGCTCTCTTTTGCTTCCGCAGTAGCCTGGGAGCGTCACGTTCCCCGGTGTTAGCTGAATCTGTGGTCGAAGAGGCTCCTCTTCGCCCTGAAGGTAACGTCCGACTTCGTGTAACACCGATAGCTCCGCCTTGTAGTTCCTCGGTCGGTCCTTCAGTTACTGGAGATAGGTCCTGTTCTAGAGGTGGAGGATCTGGAATGCAGCTGATGAGCAATTAGTAGTCCTAAACAAGAAAAAGAAATCACCTTTACGACGATCTACCGTGGTCTTTCGACGCGAGACGGTGCGCTTGTCTTTCCCCACCAATCTCCAACCTCCGCCTGTGTGTTCCTCGTCCGAGCTTGGAAAAACCGTGACATCGTCCGGCTCTGACATCGTAGAAGATGGTGGCGCACCAGGTTCATTCGGTGGCGGCGGAGGTATATCTAGCATGAACCAGTCTTGTTGCGCGATAAGGAACTCGAGCACTCGTTGGCTCAGAGCGTGTTCACTAGGCGTCATTTCATGTTGGGGATGTGAAATTAATCCTGGTCGGAATATGACTGCAAGATCTAGGAACAGGGTCAGGTATGAAAGGAACCAGAGGTCGCGAACGACTCACTCGTGGCCGTCATAAGGTTCTTATCAGACTTCCGAGCGAATACCGACAAAAGGTCGAGAACGTAAAGTAGCAGATATTGGTTTGGCCGAGGCATACCCCGAATCAAGCGTTTATATGTCGATATGACTTCTTCTTGATTGAACGGCTCTTTCGCTAGATAGAAGAATCAGTTTGAATTACTTTCTTTCGTATGCGTTATCGACTTACCCATCGCGTCTCGGAACTGATAATGGAAGCTCTTCAGCGCCGAGAAAAACAGCAATAAAGGGAACATACGTCATGGTAAACATCGTATGGAATAACAGGCTCCTTGAAGAGAATTAGTAACGCCCAACGTCAAGACTGAATGAAAACTCACGGGCATCTGTGTTAGGTACCGCCGAAAAACGCTGGCAACATCATGCGGTGTATATGGAGTCGACTTCCAATCAAGATTTTTGCCGTACTAGTGAAAACGTCGTTAGGCGGGAAGGTTAGTGCTATAATGAGAGCGCTCACTCGAGGCGGGGTTTCAAAGATGGCCTGGAGTTCCCGCATCCGCTTGTTTGATCCATTCACGCGAAACACGCCCTCTACTTCCGTCGCTAAGGGATGCGTTGAGAATTAATCAATGTGCACGGCCTTGAATATGGCAGGAGTAGGGCGTACCGTTCTCCTTGAGGTAGAGCCCACTGTTGAGTTACTTTAGAACCTAGCTGAAAAGGACAAGGGATGGAACACGCACCACTTTGCCACAACTACAGGTATATAACCCCACACATATAGTTCGCCGTTTGCATTTGCGGTAGATATTTGGACACTAGCATATTGAAGACTCTCTTTGAGAGGTTTCCCGAATACAGTATGAACTGGCTCGTCTGTTGGGCGAATATAAGATGAGCCGGAAAGTGGAACAGGGATGGCAGATGGACAACGTACCTTTGGCCTCTCCCTCCTTCTTCATACGCTGTGCGGAAGTGAAATGATTCCACCAGGCCTTCAAATTTGCCTTTGTCGGAGGGCTTTGCGAAGATTCTGGAAGCATATGGGGAACTTGAGGGAGAGAGGAAGGTTCGGGGAGAACGCTGGGCGTTGGAGCAGTGTTCCTGCGATCGATTACAGCGACTGAAGAGCGACGTGACTGTTTCTTGAATGGCCAAAAAGATTTCTTGAGCGGCCTCGAAGCCAGAGTAGCCGCAGAAATAGGTAGTGTGACTAGGGAAAAAAAGAGGT